ATAAAATAAGAGATATAAAATATACAGAGGTTGGTATGTGCTAAACAGTGGCATTAATGTACAGTAAGGAGTGTGTAATGTTGGAGTTTCAGTAGTGAGGGTGAGGTGTCTGAATGATGTAATGCAAAAGCAAATCTTGCTGTAGCAGTTTGGATCACCAGACTCTTAACAAAAGACTAGTTAAAAATATTAATAACAGAATGAAAAAGCATACATTCATTCTGCACACCTGGAAATGCCCCATGCAGGTGTGTTTTTTATCATAGCTTTTTATTAAGATGTTCCATATTCTAACTTTAATTACTAATAGTCAAAAATAAGATTTTACCAAAACAGAGTCTGATTTAGCTTTCAGGTGTTTTTCATAACACCTCATAATAATTACAAGTAATCTAATTACAAGTAATCTAAGTACAATTCATCGTTGGTTTGTTCAAAACTGTTTGACTTTAAAAACTAGGGGAGCATTAAAGAGTGAGATTAGTCGAGTTTTAAACCACTTCCAGCTTCTTTCAGAATTCTGAAGCAAGGTTGTTTCATCTTTGTCACTGATTAAAAAAAACTATTCTATTACTTTTCTATTACTTTTTCTGTACTTTCAACCCACACCGTTTTTATTACCTCCCATCGTTTACTCAGTTTCTCTCCTTCTAAACATTTTCTTTATTGAATTTTTAAGTTTTATTCTCAGTTTAAAAAGTTCCCCTTAAATGTCTGGGATCCGTTTTAGTGTAACGATGACGACTGTCGATCCCGCCGTGGGGTTGGAGACGATGAAATAAAATCTACACTGGAACAAGCAGCAATCTAAGGAAGGAAGATTGTATGTACTGTTTAAGACTTTAACTGAAGACGTGTGGATGGTGGTGTTAAATAACTAACACTGTTCTATTCTGGCTTGAACATTAGAAACTGTACTACAGTAAAACATATCTCCACCTGGTAGGGAACTTCTGGATATTTTATCCTTACAAACATTAATTTGTTCTCATATCTATGACCGAGTGTTAACACACAGGCTGGATTTGACGCTTGGATGTAAAAGATCAAGATTAGATTGTGTTTTTAAGACTGAAGTTGTGGGATTAATGAGAGATGAGGTAACATTTCCATCACTTGTGCCTTGCCATTAGCATGGTTAACATCTCTGATGTTTGAAGATTATTGGGTGAATTTTTTACTTATCTACTTTAGACTTCATAGCACAAAGTTGTGGTTTCACCTTGCAGAAAATATCCTAATCAGCAAAGACTCGCGTCAGTTCTCACACAAACTCTGAGTTTGGGTCAGAGTGTGAGGCAAACTTCACAACTGCATTTCCATCTTGAGAGCTCGCTTCGATGGCTTAATTGTAATGGTATAGAAGGTCTATAGTTTTTGAAGCAACATGCAGCAGATGGGTTAACGGCCTCTTCTCCCACTGGGGGGGGGGGGGTAAGAAGAGGCGATACGGAGGGTGAGAGGAGACTGAAAGTCCTTTAAGATGGTGTGTGTGTGTGTGTGTGTGTGTCATCGATGCCACACACACCAGTGGCACCGCCATGCAGAAAAGGTGTGCCTGGACACAAGAAGTGTAGACCACGTGTGAGCGAGCACACGAGCAGATCCAGAACCAACCGGACGTGCGGCGTGTCCTCATGGAACGCGACGGTAGGAGGCGTGTGTAACTTGACATGATTGTCGTCAACCCAGTTACTTACATGTACCACATTTTTCAGTCTGTAGATGTGATCTGGAGATACAATGGGTAAGTTGATGATGAAAGCTAGCTCTCTAGCATCTGGATTGACACTTAGTAGGATTGCACTGCCCAGCGAGAAAGCTAAGTGAGTGTGAAGGGTTAACGGCCTCTTCTCCCACTGGGGGGGGGGTAAGAAGGGCCATTGGGGCCTTCGATGTCACTCGAGCAGTCGCAGACCGGACCATGGCTAGGGACACGAGGTACGGAGGGATCCTCCCCATGAGGAGGGTGTCTATCGAAGCGCTCACGTCCCGACCGTAGTCGGACAGGCAAGTGGTCAGCATCTGTGCATGAGCATAGTCAACATTCATGGGGCAGCAGTAGCTCAGCAGGTTGAGCGGGTTGTCCAGTAATCGGAAGGTTGCGGGTTCGTTCCCAGCTCCGGACAGAGAATTCTGCTGTTGTGTCCTTGGGCAAGACACTTAACCCACCTTGCCTGCTGGTGGTGGTCGGAGGGACCGGTGGTGCCTGTGCTCGGCAGCCTCACCCCTGTCAGTGCGCCCCAGGACAGCTGTGGCTACATCGTAGCTCATCACCATCAGTGTGTGATGTGTGTGTGAATGGGTGAATGATACACTGTAGTGTAAAGCGCTTTGGAGTTCTTACTTTGAGAGGCGCTATACAAGTGCGGGTCATTTATCATTCACAAAAGAACGCAGTTCGTTCACAGCGGAAGTTGCTTTACGCAAAATGTCGCTATGAGTGTTGAGTACCACCATAGTCTGATGTTCAGACATGCCCAGCTGTCTCAAAGCACGCCGTTGCTGCAGTACCTGCTTACGCAGAGCCGGATATTCTCTGTTAAGCTCATCAACGTGTCGACGAACTGTGTTAATCTCGATCGAGTTGACAAGAGAATACGAAATCTAAAAGAGAGCCAATTGTACTAGCTAGTGAGAAGAATCCATCTAGGACACGTCCCGGTCTAATGCTCGTACCGGAAAGATCATTGTTGGAAACTGTGAATTTAAGCGCCTGGACTAGTATGTGATGGACGCCAGCTTCTGCATGCAGCGTCAGGGTACTAGTCCAGCGGGCTCCAGTTTCTGACAGGTTGCTGAAGGCATTCGTCATCTTCTCAGTACACGCCATAGCGGGGTCAACGTAAAGATTCTGGGTAGAAAACCAACCAAACATGGAGACATGTGCACGTCTCGCTGTGTGTAGGTATGAGAATGAGTTGAAGTCTTCAGCACAAGCAAGGCCTACCATGAGTAATTCAGTCATGTAGCGCTCTTTTTAGTATGTATGAGGCTCACTGTGAGCCATTCAGTGGATAGGTCACTGGGCTGAGAACATCACTGGTTCCGAGTCAGCATTTCTGCTGGGAGCTGACTGAATGGGAAATGGTTTCCTGCATTAAAAGCTTCCCAAGGTATATTCTCATGGCAGAGCGAGGGAAGAATGATGAGATGATATATCAAACCATTAGGCTCCTTACAGCTAAAACACTTTGTTCAGCTGCATGTGTCATTATAGCCATTAGAATGTATGGTTGGCTCGCCATGGTGACAGAGATAGTTGGACATTAGACTGGTAATGTGATGGCAGAGATCACACACACACACACACACACACACACACACACACACACACACACACACACACACACACACACACACACACACACACACACACACACACACACACACACAGTTTCCATTACAGCCTCACATCTGTCCCAATCAAAGGGACCAAAGTGGTTTTTAAAGCTGAAGATAAGGATTTAAATGAAATAATTACATTTATTATTTTTATTAACGATCTTATCTGCCGACCTAATGCACGCAGTCATGTCTGCACATTGGATTTAGAAGAGCTATATGTCTGCATAATTCATGAGTGCAGTGGTGTGCTGTTGGGAAAGTGAATCCCGTCCGTCTGCAGGCTGGAAGGACTCGCTGCATCCAAATGCATCATTTCTGCAGTGAAAAGAAGTTAAATGGTTTTAATGGCATAATAAAGAAATATGAAGTGGGTCTAAAACATTGCATAAAAAGCAAAATACATGTATGACCTAAAGTTAATATTTGATTAGTTTTCCCAGAAAATGCACCGTAAGCATCAACTATTAGTTCCAGGACTGATCAATACCAACTTCCAGCTCATCGCTGCAGACGGTAAACTCTAAACACTTGAGAGTTTACGGAGTCTGATTCCATTTTCAGATGCTTGTTTACTCCTTTACATAAGCGGGCAAAGACTGCAGACTGAAGGAACCGACAACAAGAAGGTTTAAAGAGGCGCATAGTGATCGTGAAGACTTCTCTTGTTTAATGACGTTCTGCCTCTGATCCAAGAAGCTTCTCAGGTTCTGAAACTTGGGCTGGGAGTAGGAGTCTTCAAGAAAGGTCCAGTTGTTCCAGCTGAACCGTCAAAAACAAAAGAAATGCTAAAACAGAGGCAGTTTGGATTGTATATGAATGATTTTATCGTTATGAAACTGTGGGTTGCATTCATTCACTGTTTACTGGGTAACGTTGTTGCTTCTCAGGTGGAAGGAAAGAAAAACAAAAACAGGTTTGCTGACTAAACAACACATGATATTTTCACTCTGGGTTAATAGCTGCTTGTTTGCTGAACGGGTTTCATGCATATTTGAATGCTCTGCTAAGTCGGCTCGGTCCCTGAGGTGAGTGGAGGGATGACTGGAAATAGTGCAAAGTCGGTAAAAGTGAATGCATAAATATGTGATGCAGACCGACTGAGGATCCTTCAGCACACAAGTAGACAAAGTGAAAAAGGCACAGAAGGGACGATTCGAAAATTACTGCCAACGAAAAATAAAACTCAAGCTGCTGATCCTCAGCTGGAGAGGACGACCAGACGAAACAATATCTCACAGATGGGTCAGATGATCAGCACATCTTGTGTCAGATACAAAGCATTTTTGCAGAAGGGAAATCTGATGTGAGATCTGCAGAACGTTCAGCCATCCTGATCTCCTCAGTCCTCACGTTGTGGTTTTAATAATAAATGTTTTTGAGCTCAGATTTCCTTTCTCTTTCACTCTTAATCTGCTGCAGCAGGGACAGAAAGCAGCATTTCTTATTGGCATTCCCATCAATATTGTTGCTTTTCATTGAACAATTCATCATTCTTGTTATTTAATATCACATTTCAAACTACCAAGTGTGTTTTTTAACAACCAGATGTCTTCAGAGTCCTCGCCATCGGCTTCCCTCAAGATCCCAGTAGTTTCCCCCTCAGCATCACATCCTTCTGTGAAAAGTAAAACACTTTCTTATCATCCCCACAGCTGGAGGTCTTCACCACAGACTATGCTGGAAACATCATGGAGTACCCCGTCAAACTTGTGATCACTGTCATCGACCAAAACGACAACCGGCCCATCTTCACAGAGTCGCGCTACACGGGAGAGGTGCTCGAGGGATCTCCTACAGGTGGGTGAAATTGTTCTGTTGAAGCTCTGCAGAGAGAGCTGGCTTCTTATTGGATTTAGCAGCCCGGCTTTACCTCACACACTGTGACTGTTTCCCTCCAGATGCCCTTTGATCTTAGGATAGGTAGAGGTGATGTCTGTTTCGTAAAAAAATAAAGCTCCAAAAAGTTTCTTACACATTAGAAATAGAAGTCAACAGCCCGGGGTGCTTTAGTGCTCAAAGAAGCTAAAGACCACCTAGCATCCTTCTTCTGATGCTCCTTTCGTTCAGCCTCATCCTGATAAAACTAGCCTATGTTGAGGCATGAGGAGGACTGGTTGGGGGGGGGGGGGTCCCCCGGGTTTAGGGTTGTTTCCTGTCGTTTGATTGGTGGAAGCTCAGAGGATGGACGGGTTTAGCTTGTGTGGGTGCCATCGTGGGGATTTGATCAGTTTTTATTGAACTGATGTCAGAAGTGGCTTTTGGCTCTTCTTGTCACTACGGCACTCTTGTGTTTTATTTGACTTGAGATGGAAAAGGACCTCCTTCGGTTGGGATTTATTTTATTTTTTCAGACCTGCTACAACCTTTTGAGGACAAACCAAACTGTTTGAAAAGGGAAACGGGTGATTTTCCTTCCCACTCTGCTTCCAACTGTCAGTGATGCACAATGTGGGGCTAATTATTAAATTAGTGAAAATATGTTAGTTTGTTTTTAATCGTGAACCCTTTTCCCAGAGTACAGATTTCATTTAGATGGTCGTCTAGGGGCAAACTCGGTCTGTGGACGTAAATGTTCTTTAACTGGATGTTGAGCAACAAAGAAAACAATCAAATATAAACAGAAAAGATGTCATAAAGGATCTCACTCCTCCAGTGTCATTCACACACACACACACACACACACACACACACACACACACACACACACACACACACACACACACACACACACACACACACACACACACACACCTACATACACACCTACATACACACCTACACACCTACATACACACCTACACACACACCTACATACACACCTACACACACCTACACACCTACACACACCTACACACACACACCTACACACACCTACACACACACACCTACACACACACCTATACACACACACACACCTACACACACACCTATACACACACACACACACACACACACACCTATACACACACACACACACACACCTATACACACACACCTACACACACACACACACACACACACACACACACACACACACACACACACACACACACACACACACACACACACACACACACCTACACACACACCTACACACACACACACACACACACACACACACACACACACACTGTATAATTCCTAGGACAGGTATGATATAATCAACACACCATTATGAGTTGAGGGATGTGTGAGGGTCCATCCTACTAGAACTGTTTTGTGTGTACTGGTGTGATGCAGGAAACATTCCCATTTCCATCCCATAGCTTTGATTCTCATCCATTTCTTGTGTTACTTTGTAATTCTCAGCTCCATTCATGCAGCGTTTCTCTAGCTCAGTCTTGCAGTTCATAAATATCCAATATCTACTAGCTTGTGCGTTTAGCCGCAGTACATCACAATATCCCTTCGAGTAAAAAAATAGAAACAAAGCAAAAAAGTCTGAAATGACAAATCCCAGCATAGAAATCTATTATTCGTTTGGCCCAGTGGGTTCACCATCACATACAACACCTGAATCATCATTTTGTTGTAGTCCTAACTCTGTTTAGTCGACAAGTTAACTATGACTTCTGCAAGATCAGCACCAAGGATTTCATTGGAAAAGTCGTTTTCCATCGCTGGATGGATGTGGAATATCTCAGATGCTGTTTTGCAACAAGGTTTGATAAAATAAAAACGTGTTTAATAGTCAGCTGTATGAGCAAACCTTTGGAAATCACATTTGTCCAACAAATCCAATATGTGCATTCACCAATATGTGGTTTTGAAACTGAATTGGAATAAGTAAACCAAGCTGGAGAGATTCAAGCTAAATGTAATTTCCTGTAAATGTGGTCTGATGGTTCTTTGTTCTTTAGTTGCCATGGATGTCAGATCTAATTGAGCTCAGAGATGGGATGAGGGCTCGGCTCAGAAGGCTGACTGGTTCGTGCACGTTCCTGTAAATCTGAGCACTAAACATTCAGCTCAGTAAACATGACGGTTTAGCCTCAGGCGTGCGCCGTACATCAATCGCCCAAATGACATCAAACAATCAGGCGGTTTTCTGTGGATTTCCTGGTCAGTAGAAACACATTTTAAAGAGATTCTGCTCTTTATGCAAGGCACAACAGACTAAGACAGATAAATTGTTGCTGTAGTCAATCAAGA